AGTAATAATAAGTACAATGGTTCTAATGAGTATGAAAAAGCTATTGTTTTTTTGAAAAAGGGTTGTGATTGTGGTTGTGGTGGTATTGTTGTTATTGTAGTCATACCATTTAAATTATTTAAACTATTTTGTATTACACCATAAGTATTATTTCCTAATGACATTGGAGCTACTTTTTGGTGTCCAAATCCCATTGTAGGGCTATAAGGTCCATGATGATGATGATGATGAAATCTTTTACCGCCTTGTCTCATCTCCATTTCAAACCTCATCTCCAATAAACCTGCACGTTCTTTTAAATTCCGATTTCTCCTTTCTAAATGTTTAATATAACCAATGGCTTTAAATAAAATAGTGCTTTTTGAATTATTAACATTTTTTAGCGTTGGTATAATATCAGTTAATTCTTTAAAACCAGCACGAATTGTGTTTCTACGTTTTTGTTCAGAAGCTATATGATTTGCTCTTTTTTCCTCTTCAGTTAATAATTCTTTGTGAGGTTTTTTACTAGATTTTTGTGCTGCTGATTTTATTTCTTGTTTTGTTTCTGTCGTTGTTATTGTTGCTGATGACGATGACGATGACGATGACAATGACAACGATGAAAGTTCATTCTTAGAATTATTGTTATTTCTATAATTATTACTATTATTATTATTGTGATTTTTATTGTTTTTATTATTGTTATTACTACTGCTATCAACACCGTTATTATTATCATCATTATGATTAATTTTTATAATGTCATCATTACGATTAATAATGTCATTTTTAATAATTTCTCTGTTAGTAATAAGAGGCGATTGATTACTGCTGCTTATTGGACTTTCATCCAAATAATAATTATTGTTATTATCATCACCATTACTACTACTACTACTACTATTAGTATTGCTATCTATGCTATTAATAGAAAGATTTGATATTTGCATTGGAGGAGATATTGGAGCTGAATGAATTTGAGACATTGATAATTTTGTATTTATTGGTGTTAACCTTGGAATTGAGGAACGACGTCTTGATTTATCATCATCATTATTTTGTTTACGCTTTGCAGGAATATTGGATGATGAGGGTAAATATAAATTATTATTGTTGTTATTGATTAATTTAGGACTTTGTAATGATGACTCATGATCAATCAATGATAAAGTTGAAATGCTATTATTATTGTTATGACTGTAAATATGATTGTTGCCAATTAATAAAACATTTTGATCATTATAATTATTATAATAATTGAAATTAACATTATTGTTTTTATCACAGTTACTATTGTCATTGTTGTCGTCGTCGTCGTCGTCGTCGTCGTCGTTGTTACTTATTTCTAACATTTTAGATGAGGAGGAAGAGCATCCATTATCTAGGATAGGTGATGGAAAAACAGGCATATTTTTTGGCAATATAGGATTAAATATGTAATTTGGATCTTCTTGAAGATTACCAAGAAAATCGCCGAATATAAATTTTTCATCTTCTGGATTTAATAATTGTTGTGGTTGACCGAAATCTTCGGATTGAAAGATTGCAGAGAATTCAGGCATCCAAGTATATTCGACAAATTCTAAAATGATTTTATGTTTATATATTTATTATATGAGCATGTGTGTAAGTATGCAAGTATATATAAAGAAAAATTTATTTGAATATTATTACCATCATAAGGTGGAGGTTCAGGGATAGATACAAGAGTAACTGAAGTTGTGTTTGCTGTTGAATTATTGGCATTATGTTGGTTGAAATTTGTAGAAGAGTGTAAAGTTAACAGTGGCTCTTGTTGAAAGGTTGTTGAAGAAGCAGACATTTCATTACAAATATTTTGGAGAGAAGATTCCTGTTCAAAAAAACAGTTTATAGAGTCAGACATTTTGTTGTAGTTTTGATTTGCAAGTTTTTCTTATTGACTTAACAATTAAATTAATTTCTATTTTTTTTTTTTTTCAATAAATTTTTTTATTTTTTATTTTGGGGAAAGTAACGTTGATAGACAAATTAATGGATAAAAAACGAATAAAGTTGTTGAATGTTGTGGGGTTTTTCATTAGATTTTATTGTTAAGTTTTTGATAATTGATTAATGAGTTAAAAGTTGTATATTAATGATATTAAAAATATATAATAATTATTTTTTCTTATCAAAAATTAAATCGGAGAGAGCATTTATTTATTCCCATCTAATTGTTTCATTATATCACACAAAATGATTTAAGGGAAAAAGAACCCTTATAATTTTTGTATATTATGAAGAATAAATTCATTCATTTTATCAGGTGATTATTAATGTTTTTTCTTGTCTTGAATTGGAAAACATAAACTTAATTAATTAATATTCATGTATATGAACCTGAATTTGAATATGAAGATTTTGTAATGCACATTACATAAATGTAATCTCCGATAATGTCCATTGATGATGAGAACTATGATGACGGATATTTTTTTCCTCGTCAACTATAAATATATTTAGAAAAATTGCTGCTACACGACTCGCATATGATTTTGTTCCATTAATATTTAACATATACAACTCTAAATTTTATCAAGCAAAATTGTTTCTAAACTAAAAATGCTCTTCGCAATGAAATGATGATTTCAAACAACTTATTTAAAATTTCAAATCTAGTTTAGTGCCTGCCAGTCAAACCAATTTAACGTCTGCCTTAGTTCTCTCTAAAGACGGAATTTTTTTCATTTTCTAATATAGAATCATAAAAATTGAAACAAATATTTAATCTTTACCATCTTTTGATTGAAACCATATTATATAGCTCTATCATAATCAAAATTTTGATGATTTGATCCTTTTCGATCTTGCTAACATCAACATGTAATGTATCATTTGTTGTCTTAATAAGGATATGTTAAGAAAAACCACGTTCATTGGGCAAACGGAATTGAATAAATTATATCTAATAATTAAATGAAGATATTCATCATTATAATTGCAGGAATAATTAGGTACACACCATGATGATTGATCAATAATTCTAATTCTTCATCAAAGATTTTTAAAACTCTCTAATTTTTTTGACCATTCCGCTGATTAAAAAATATTCATGAATTGAATAAAGAAGAATTTGGAAGATGTTGATTAATTTCTTCAGGGCATTCTCGAGATAATTTTTTAACCAAAGCAGTCATATGGGCGTATTGTATTAGTATGCAAAAAGTACAAAACAATTCCAGGGATTCAAAATTGCTACTTTTATCATTACTTGGGTAATCAATCCCATAGATTAGATAAGTGCTGAGCTGTTTCACAAATATTTTTTTTTAACTATATTCTGGATTATCAGGATCAGGCCTTTGTTGGCAATCCTCAAAATTTCCCTAATACTGAACTGACTCTTCTTAATGTGTCACTAAAAATCTTTTGTTAAAAAAAAACTATCAATCAATATAACAAAAATCAATTTAATTTACCTAAGATAAGAAAGAACTATGTATAGGCATATTATTTTTATTAAAGATTCTGAAGATATAGTATTTGTTATTAATAACCAGAGAGATATAGTATTTCTCTGCACACTATTATTTTTTTATTACATTAGCCTAAATAAATATCATTGACTTTTTTTTGGTAAAACCAACCATTTTATATACAATGATTGGTTCAATCATGATTAAGGATGTTAGCCGAAATTGTTTTTGAAAAAATCAATTTCGGCAAGCAATTTCAGATTCACAATATTTTTCATATTAAAGACCATAAAAAGACAACCTAGCATTTCGGCTATTATGTTAATGAGTCCAAATAATTTTGGATATAATTTTGGCAACTAATAAAGTTAATTTCAGAAACTATTTTGGCATTTCGGATTTGGCAATGATCATTTATTAAGAGAGGCAATTTCGGCTAACATCTATAATCATGATATCATCATTATTACAACTGTGTCCTACTATTTTGAATGAAATAATGGTCTAGGCCCCCTGACCCATGGCTCAATTTCATATTTTTTATTGGTTTTTCTATACATAATAATATTTTAGAGATTGGAATCAACTATTTGACTATTTTAGTCAACTAATAAATTTTTTTTTTTTTGATCAACCCAAATAGCTAAATAGTGATTAAAAATAGTCAATTAAATCATGTGGCGGAAATTGGTCATTCTTGTGATATAATAGAGTGGTGATCTGCAACATATAGTAAATTTTCAAGTCACTTGATATTATATAATAATATGTAAACTCGATAAGTTGGTCATATGGGGGTGAGCTCATATGACTGACTTATCAAAGTAAACTGACTTAGAGAGTTTATATATGCAATTTAAAAATGAATTTTCTGCAACATATAGTAAATTTTCAAGTCACTTGATATTATATAATAATATGTAAACTCGATAAGTTGGTCATATGGGGGTGAGCTCATATGACTGACTTATCAAAGTAAACTGACTTAGAGAGTTTATATATGCAATTTAAAAATGAATTTGAAACCACCAAACTTATTGAATCAATTTTAATGCCAATTTAAAAGTGTTATAAAATCAATACTGTTTTTTTTAAATGGGGCATACTGCAACAAAACCAGACAAAGTGAACATTGGTATTACCAAGAATTTCAGGGTTCAAAATTTAGTCATTTCATAATGTGATTATAATTAACAGTTTATAATATCCCATTTGTTATCTTAAGTGATATATAGAACTATCCCTGTATAAAATAGTTAAGATGAAACTCATTTACATCAGATCTACCATGGAACCCAAGAATTACAGCACCATTAGAAGTATTTTAAAAAGGAACAGGGTGAAAAAATTGCTCCTTATATTTTCAAAATAAATGATACTCAAACACTAGAAGCTTATCTAAGAAAAGAAAGGATTACCTATGAAATTTATCAACAGGATAAATAATTAGTGTGTAACAAAATTTTTAATTTCTAGCAAAAAATTAAAAATGTCTGGTAGAGCAGACAGAAAAAGAAAACAAATCCAAGAAGAATAATTTGCCAGGTAAGTGTTTTAAGGATGGTGGTGGTGGTTATCGCCCGATACTCATTGTTACTCTAGTTGAAATTAATAAAACATTCCTATCACGTTAATTTCCATACTTGAAAAAATAGATATGTCCAACCCGTAAGTAAATTACATTCTTTTCAAATATCAAACTGATTATTTCATTTAATGAGGCTTTGATATTTTTTTTTCCATGACATGAAAAATTAGGAAGAAATATTAGAAAAAATTATCAATAAATTAAGCGTAAATCACAATATATCCACAAGTGAAGCAAAGGAAGCACTTGGAAACTTTAACTGATTTCATAATTAGAGCGTCAGAAATTCTAGATAATTATGTCGAGTTAAAATATAATAAAAATGAAGAAGTAGGATCTGACAAGTTTTTTACTTATATGTTCCTTTTTTTTTATTTGTTGTAAATTTATATTCTTTATTTTATACAACAAAAGAATAATTATAATAATATGAATAATGATGTTATTCAGAATGGCAATTCAGAACTTATTGTAACCACCAACACTATTACTACTGCTGCTACAGATGAAAATGAGAGAACATCATTACCTTCATCTCCTATTTCTGATGCATATTCTATAAATCATTTGGATTTAGATGAAAATGAGTAATTATTATATATTTTTATTATAATTAATAATATAAACTTATACTTTTTTTTTTTTTTTAGTAATAACAATAATCCAGAAGTTGAATCAACTTTTCAAAATATAGAAGAAGCTTCTACATACTGGTAATTCTTCTGATCAACAACGAATTACTAAAAAAGGAAAATAATGACATCATCCTTGACACAAGGATACAATCTTCGCAATAAAAAAGATATAAATTATAATTATGGTCGTGTATTAAAAAGGAGACATCGTAAAAGTAAACCTGTAAGTATAAAATATTAATAAGAAATTATTATTATAGTATTTAACTTTTTATTTATATTATAGACATCACCATCTCCATCTTCTTCACCTTTACAATCATTTAGTGTAGATGATAATTTTTTTGATGAAAACGAACCACCACGAAAGAAAAATTATTGTCTAAAATGCCCTATTCACTGTGAAGAGGAAGCTATGTGAGATGTCTTATTCATTATTTGTTAAAGTATGTGTAGTTTTAATAATTTAAAAATATTATGTTCTTTATAATAATATGACAATATTAATAAAAACACCATCTTATTCATTATTGATCAGGCATTATGTGCTATCAATGTTGAATGTGTTACAATTAATGCAAAAGATATTTGATTTGTCAGGGAGAATTCATGGAAGATGGAATAGTTTTTAAAATGATAATATTAATATTAAAAAAATTGTTGTTAAATCAATTAATAAAAAATTAAATAAAAATTTGTTGCAAATCACTATTTTTAAAAATCATTTGTTATATGACAAAAATAAAATGTTATTTTTTACTAGATGATCTCAAATATCCATATTTTCACATCACATATTAATATATAATTTTTTTTTTGTCAATTGTATATAGAGCTCGGATCCGGATAGTAAAATCCTTAGGATATACGCGGATATCCGGATAGAGATTTGATGAACGGATAGGATATCCAGATAGGGTTTTGATGAACGGATAGGATATCCGAATGAAAGATTTTGATAAACGGATATCCGGATATCCGTATAGTGAGAAACGGATTTCTATTATATTAATATCCACATTAGTATTAGTATATATAATAATAATAATATTTGGTTGATCTAATACTAATTAAATTATTTTACTTTTTTAATTCTTTGATTTATTTTTGTTCTTAAACAAGAAAGATATATTTTTACTCGGTCAAAATTAAATTATTTTTGTCCCACTAACTAATTAATAATATTAATATTAACAAAAAAAAAAGAAAAAAGATAACGAAAAAGGCTATGTCACATGCCATCATATGATTGGACGGTGTTTCGATAAACCCGTTTTTCTATCACAATAATACAAATGAATATGATATCCGGATTTCTATAATAATAATTTAAACGGATAAGTATCCGGATATCCGTTTTAATATCCGGATCCAAGCTCTAATTGTATATATTAATATGTGAATTTTTTCAATCATTATTAAAAAAAATTGAAATATCATGTGATCTGCACTGTAGTAGCGTGTTTCAATATTCACAAAAAAATCAACCCTTTACTTCTTTCTCAAGTAAAAGTGCCGCCAAATCATTTTATTTTAAAAAAGTTACTTCCAAACGGTTAAGTCGTTTGAATTCATGTTTAAAGAATTTCTAAAAAATGATTGGCTAAATTTATGCAGATATTTCATTTTGAAAAAAAAAAAAGTCTTGGCAAAAGAGCTTTATTTTGTAGTATACATTTTAGGAACAATAATAATAAGGTTTGGGGTAAATAGAATAAGCAAAAAAGAAAATATTAATATACTCAAAGAAGATTTATGTTCTATAAATGACCAGTGATTTTGAGATTCTATTTTTATAGTATATTAATACGCGATTTCTATTAATATTATTATTTGAAGAATAACCTGCCATTCTATTTTGTTATTCATTTAATCTAATTAATTATGATTTTTTTTCCCATATAATGAATATATATAAATAAAAATCTATTATTCTTCACACAGCAAAAAATAAATAACATGTTCTAAACTAATAATAGTAGAGTTAAACAATTTGGTTGGTAAAAAAATACTTTTGAGAATACAAGCCCCCACCGTTTTAATGTGTTGATTATATTCAGACGGTGCTTACATCCGAGAGAATACGATATGTTTTTCTTTTTAGAACTACATTGCCGAGGCATTGTTATCATTCACCAAATGTAAATGTCCTTGAGGGATGATGTCCTAGAAATCGATTTCCAAATTTAAATTTAAAATAACTACTTTCGCATCAATCATCACATCATATTTTATTTATTATTATTTTTAATTTTTTAATTATTTTATTATTATTATTATTTGTTTAATTGAGAATGGGTAGTTACTAATCTTTTATTGGTTGAGTTTATTTATTTGAGATTTAATTATGTGATTTCGTTATAGGTGTGTTTGTATAAGGGATTTATTTAAATTTTAAGGAATAAACTAGCTAGCTATATTATGATTGTATATGCGTAATAATAATAATGGCTACACGACATTTGTTTTTGGAAAAATAACCTTAAATTTTTCGTATGTAGCACATTTTTAAATTAATGTTCGTCAGTGCACTTAGCTAACGCAATTTGGCACGTGTTACGGGTACAAATAGTGATTTTTGGTATTGGTACAAAATTTCAACACTGTACCAATGCTCATATGCCTTTTCAAGCATCAAAATCTTCAATTTCTGGCTCATTTAATGCACAAATGATTATTTAATGCATTGTAGTTTGAGAAAATGTTCATATTAGTGTTACAATAATAGTTGGACAATTAAAGGAAAAAATCTTCATCTGTATCCAAAATGTGTTTCCATAATCCCACCATTTGTTCACCATACTTGCTTGTAAACAATAAAAAATTTTAAAAAAAACCAAATCGGCCGTTAGAAGTTGATGGTTTCATAATAAAGTGGATTTTAAAGGAGAAATACTTTTGATTTGTAATGAAAAAATAATAACCCCTGCAAGTACACTACACACATATCCTTAGGTCTGTGTGTGCATTTAGAGGGAGGTAATTTGTATTTAAATCGGAGCCTGTGACTGGACGAGAGAGCATGAATTTAGGGGGTAGGATGACTGTTAATCATCATCATCAAAAAAAAAAGCTCTCTTTAAATGATTTTGAAAGAAAGTAAAATTTTTTCATACTGATAAATAATTCTTTTGCATTATTACTACTCGATTCATTTTTCGTTTGGCCAATTAAAACAGTTTCAGAGTTTCGAAATAATAATCTCAGAGTTTCGGAACAATTTAAAAAGTAAAAGTGGTGGTTGAGGTTCCGATCAGCTTGTTTTTTAACGCGCCGACTGAATTTTTATACAACGATCATGGGCGCTAGTTTAGTTTTCAATTTCACGTTTAACAATGTGTGTGTGTGTAAAAAATTTGATTCATTGAATGGTACTTATAAATTCGCCATTTAACCATACTTGGGATGACTGCTAAATTTTTCGTTGTGTAACTAAGCTATTTTACAAACACCACCCACTTCAATGATGGTCTCGAATGCATCTTTGATATTTTTTATTCTAAACTTTGCGTGACTTTATGAATTGTTTGTTAATTTTGTTAATTACTATTTGTTATTTGTTACATCAAAGAGTGTAAAAACTTATTCAAAACAACAATAACTAACGAAATTGTTAACAGTCATATCGCAAAAAGTGGGATGTCGAGACTTTATTTTTGTGATTAATTAAATTAATTGATTAATATTCCATCAAAAGGTAAATTATATAACATTGCAACTTGTAGAAATGACATGTGATACATTTTCAAAAAAGATCATTCCAATTATTATTATTCGTCAATTCGGATTTCTTTCTTCTGCCACTAAAAAGTTCGGTCACAATGTGTTTAATGGCTAAGTAATAATAACAATAGTTGATCCTGATGAAAAATGTTCAATTATTCTCGAAAAAAAATGAAGAAGACGTTGTTGGAAGAAATCAAACAAATCAACCTAAAAAAAAGACTGGTACATCAGAAGCATCCATCGATATTTCATTTGTTCAATGTAAAGAATGTCCCCGTTGTTATTTTTTTTTGTATTCATTTTTAAAATAAGAAGCTGGCCAACAATTAATTCAATTTGCGATTTCAATGAGCAAATTCAAACACAAAAGAATTTATCATTAACCAATAAAATCAATTAGTCAGGATAAGGTGTTTTCTTGACTTTTTATGCACAACGAGATTCTAAATTTGGGGTACTTTTTTGTAATGTCAAATAGTTTAAATTAAGGCATATATAATTATGATGAATTTTTTTGTTAATATTAAATCGATTATTGCTATAATATAAAATACTAGCATAATATACAAGTGTGTGTAATTGATCTCTCTAAAAGCGAAAAGTTGACCTATTTTTCTTTTAATAGATTTTGATAATTTATTTTATTCTAAAAATATAAATTCTCACTCTCTTTCCTTTTACTACAATTATTCTATTATTTATTATGGTCAGCAAGGTGAATGGACATAACTCCTCTTCCATTTTGATAATAATATTTAAATTAATGTTGTGTGAGGAAATAAATTATTTCCTCTTTTAAAGAAATTAATTTAAAAAAGTTACATTTGATATAAAAAATTCATTATTTATTGTTATTGTTGTCGATCTTATTTATTACTTATTATTTTTATTAATGTAATTTTACGGTGATTGTCAAGGAATCAAAAAGCTTATAAATATACTAATTTTTTCGTCTAAAACAAATTTTTTTTTCTAAAAAAAAAATAATTAATTAATAATATTTTATTGAAAAAAGCCCTCCAATATTTTAAAATTTAATAAAATAAATCATATCATATTTATATATTATAATTAATAATAATGTCTGAAGAAGGAAAACCAGAAGTTTATACCAACAAAAATGCTGCTCCAAAAATAGCAAATCCTGCTCCTCTTGGTAAATAAAATCAAAAAGTCAATCTTTTTTTTTCTTTTTTCTTAAACAATATTATTAATAATGATGATGTTGTCGTTATTATATATATATATATATAGGTCTTTCTGCATTCGCTTTGACCACATTTGTACTGTCAGTTCATAATGCTGGTTCTCCCACGATTGTTATTCCTAACATTGTGGTTGGTTTAGCCTTATTCTATGGTGGTCTTGTACAACTTTTAGCCGGAATGTGGGAATTTAAAACTGGTAATACCTTTGGTGCCACCGCTTTCTCATCTTACGGTGGTTTTTGGTTATCGTTCGGCGTGATTTTCATTCCTGGTTTCAATATTGCCGGTGCTTACGGTGATAATAAAGGACAATTTGAAACTGCAGGTAAATAATCGAGTAAATTGGGGTGGGAAGAGTGAATGAATTGTGAATGAATTGTGAATGAATTGTGAATGAATTGTGAATTAATTGTGAATTAATTGTGAATTAATTGTGAATGAATTAAATAACTTATTATATTATATTTTATAATTATATAGTTGGAATATATCTTATTGGTTGGACAATTTGTAAGTTGCTGATCTTTATTTTATTTTATTTTAAAGCAAAAATTAATAATAATCATTAAAACTAAAGAATTTTTATTATTATTATTATTATTATTATTATTAGTCACTTTCCTATTATTCTTGGCTACACTACGTTCAAACGTCGGAATTTGCTCCTTGTTCTTTTTCTTGACCACAACATTTTTACTTTTAGCACTTGGTAAATTCACTAACGAAACTGTATCAAAAACTGGCGGTGTATTCGGTATAATTACTGCTTTCATTGCTTGGTATTGTGCTCTGGCTGGTCTTTTAACACCTGAAAATTCTTACTTCACTTTACCTGTCGTTGATTTAAGTCGTAAAAATTATTAACTAGATTTTTTTTTGATTAAGTTTTGGATTATTTTCTTTTTTTTTAGAATATAATAAATAATAACATTAATATAATAATATAATAATTAATACATACAACTTTATATAATATAAATAATACCAATAATAAAGTATGAACCTAAATGAAATTATATATATTTGAATCAAGTTTTCTGTGATGATCTCTAAACAATTTTGTCCAAAATCTTCGGCCTATAAATTATTTTTTCTCTCGTTTCATTTCATTCATTACTTAGAATGACAAAGAAAAAAAACCTAACATTCCATTCGTCCCCCAAAAAACCACTATGCTCATAACAAAATAAAAGAAAATAATAATTGAACAAATAACATTGGTAGTGGAAGTGATAATGAACCATTGGTAAATATAAATTTAAGTAATAATAATAACAATTGGGCCTTTTGATCATGAAAGGAAAGGAACTTTTAATGTATTAATAATAATGATTTTTTTAAATGATGATTATCAAATATACAGATTTCCGCTATTGAATACATCATCTGATATTTCGGATAATACTATTTTACCTTCCCGTTTAAAGTTCAATTTCAACTAACTCTAATAATAATAATAATAATAAAGATAATGTTAATTGGTTGGTGCAAATATTTTGAACTTGTAAATCACCTTATTTGGTGGAGTCTAAAAAAAATTTTTTTTTACCAAACCTTTACTATTCAAACAAGAATTTACTTGGCAATAGCAGCAAGCTCAGTCGATTATTTTCATCAGCTGGGAATTTATTTACAAAAAAAAAAAAATATAATATTCATAATCTTTTTTTTTTTAATTTTATCCAAGTCCTTAGCCGACCAAGATTTCTCTACCAACTGACATCACTACAAAATATCTTGCATAATAATAATAACCACACCCGAAATTTTTTGAGTTCGCGTCATATATTTTTTTATTAATGGCATTTTAAGTGGTCAAATTATTGGACAATTTCACATATTTCCTCTAAAACATTACTACTTGGCTTTGCCAGGTCAACTATAGCTATAACGATAAAAGGCTTTCAGAAAGAGAAAGCATTTAAAAGCTACCAAGGAGTGGACGTCCTAAACTTTGGAGTGTTGATCGAGGAGAATAAAAACTGTTATTGCAAATGATGGACAGCCAACAAAATATTGTTATTAAATATCCTTTTCGAGGATGAAGATATCGACGAAACGTTTTTTATACCCTTTAACACCAGTCATCAGGAAAGCTATTTTTACAAGTATATTATTGACCAAACAGGGATTTGCGTAATAATAAAATTTGCATGTCATCTAAAAACGCTAATAGCTGTGCCACGGTCCGAAATTTGGAATTATTGACAGAAAAAAATATTAATATAACGCTTTTCTTGATTAATAATTAATATACACTAATACTATTCTTTTATATCAAAAATACTTCGTGTAATTACTATTATACCGACCAATCAGAATGATTTGAGAATGAACCGAACATTTATAAATACTCTCTCTTTCTCTCTCTATGATAATAAACAAATGAAACAATGTTTTGTTTATTTACATCGGTTTACTTTTATCTAACTTTGCTGGTTAGAGAATCACACGTTTCAAAGATAATCAACTTTAACCTTATGGCTACCATTTGCATAAAGGTCGCTCTCTCCTCGCCTTGATTGCTATGCCACCTACAACGTTACCTTCTCGACCTTTAACTATAACTGATAAATAAAAGATAAAGAATTATAATTAATTATGATCTTTTGACAACAAGTTTATTGTTATATTAAATAAAAGACTACATAGTTACCATGTCTCGTGATTCTATCCGAAAATATTCAAACCTAATACCAAATGCTTGTAAGTTTTTATATGAAAAAATCACTATAGCACCTTTTATACACTAACTAATACCATATTCCAAGGAGAGAAAAAAGGCATTAATACATTAAAAAATAATTTATTTATAAATAAATATTTCTTACCAATTGTGTAATAATTACATCAGGCTTGTAATCCTGGATAATCCTTACACCATTTCTATGTGAAATCAAGCTTTTATATCAAAAAAGTTTCCAATGTCATAACAGAGGCTACACTTTGTTATAACAAGACTTGGATATATTGCACAGTTTAATTGATTTTATCCATTTATGCTTGAGATTGTAATTATTGGGTTGCAACTAATGGTGTAGACATGTTGCCAAGCTATAACTCATAATTATGTCATAACTCTTGGAAAGATTTACCATGTGATCCATATGATTGTATGTTATAATGCCATATTAGTATTATAACTTTCATCTCTTGGAAATATTTGCTGTATGTCATATTCCATATGCTGTATTAGTGTTGTAGCCCTCAGGTATTCATATGTTTGCACCCTTGGTTGTAGCAAAAATAATTAAATTGCATCACCATGATGTGAGTGTTAACCAGGGCTGCACACATGACCATGTTAATTTTAAAATTACACATGGAACCTGCAACATTTAATCATAATTATTGAATAAAAATATAATTTCATATGTCACTGGTTTGACCCCATGCTAATTTTAAAAGCATATTTTTATAACAGTTAACCAGTTAAAATGGTTAAAAAGTATCAAATCCAAGGTTTTGAGTTGCCAACCTAGATGTACCAGGCCTGTTAAATTATGTATGGGCTAGCCCATTCTTGAGTACATATATGATAAGCCATGCACCTGGATGCACAAAAAGGGAGTATACACATCAGATGCATAAGGTCCACCACTTTATCCACGAGTTGCACACAATAAGACATGCATACTTTAGATGTGTCCAGATACTGGAATTGTATTTAAAATAAATGTCCTCTAACAACTCACACAGGACATCCGCCTAGTGGAGAGGTTTTTTAAGTCTCTTAATTAAAAGAGCCTAGGAAACAACTGACAGATGTCAGGCCCAGCTAATAACCACTCATTAAATTCGTGATCATGATTCGTTTGCATTACCACCTCATAAAGTCATAACCATTACAGCTAATTCGCCCTGTGGAATCTTGGATTAACCCTGTCTGACTAGGGACATGTAAAAAATTAACTAATTCCTTATCTTTGAAAAATCAGTGTGTCATTTCAACAAAAGATAAAGAATTATTATATAGAATAAAAAAATTCTATTCTATCCATTAAGGCCATTCAAATTTGATTATTTGTTTAACACCTTCCCCCTAGATTTTTGTTGCTTTTGTTGAATGCTGGTTGAAAGCATTTTTGTTGAAAATGGGCTTTTTGAAAACGTTTTTGTTGAATGTTGGTTGAAAGCATTTTTTGTTGAATGGATTTGTTGAACACTCACTGGTTGAAATTACATTTTGGAAATATTTTTGTTGGTAGTATTTTTGTTGAAGTGGGTAGTGAGCAAGCAAGTATGGTATGTTGATAAAGTGGTTTTTCCAGCATAGTGGAATTTTGTTGTTACACGAAACATTATACAGAACTCATTGCTTCTGAAACTTCGCCAGTATATAGTTGTTACC